ACTTCCGTTGAATTTTCCGATAAAAGTTTGTTGTTTACTCTAACCGCCGTACTCATACATGCATACATATAACTTTATTTAAACTCGGATTTAGAATAAAGCTCGAGCCGAGAGCTAGTATCTCCAAGTATAATTAACATTTAAGGAATACAGCAAAATATATAAAATTACTACGCACACGCATCGTTTTTAGTCTCATCTACACAATAATATTGCTAATAGCACGCTGAAAAGCAGTGAGAGATTCAGAAGTTCTTATGTTATCAGGCAGCAGCATATCTGAACGATTATAATCCATAGGAGCTTGTAGTAACTCTTGGTAGACTCAATTTTAGGGTACCTCTGAGGTTATACACCGTTTTTCGATCGGGTTAGTTTAATTAAACTGATCTTGCAAACCAAGACCAAGGCCTTGTGATTGTGAAATGATGCCATTGTTTTCTGTTTCTTTTCTGCGAGATTTTGCAGGTGTTGTAGAGTTACAGTCTTATCGCCAGTGTGAGGGTTGTCCTCAGAGGGACTCTTGTAGGTCATCGTGACTGACATTTTGACAACCTCAACAGATATCGTCTTCGGAATCGAGAGATGATGAATTTCTATGAATTTTTTTTTGTTTTCTTTCTATAAATTGAAAACGGTTTACATGAATGAGACCTGGTGATAATCGACCTGAAAAAAATTAAATGAAAAGGGAAGCAATCAAAAGAAGAGAAAATGATGAAAATAACCAAGATTCAAATTGAATGAAAGATAACAAATTAAAGAGGAAGTGAAAAGTGTTTCAAGATGTACAAATCCTCAGTAACTCTTCAGTAGTTTGATGAATCCTTCTTATTTTGCAACCTTTTTCAGCGTTCTATCGCACAGGACGCCACCGAACTCAAAGAAAAAGCCACAAACGTCGAAGACACGCTCTCAGATGTAAAAGGATTTTTCCAACGATTACAAGACCTTGCAGAAGAGGTAAGCGTAAAAGAAAGGCAAATGCCTCCTCCACGTTTAAATTTTCTTTCGAGCGCTTCTCGCCTAACAATAACCACCTGCTTTGACTACTAGTTTTCTGAGTAATTCTGAGTATGTATTTCAAACTTCGCTCTCTTGTACAAACATCTATCAGCCTTCTTTTGAGTAGAACTCCGGCATGGTCTCTCCCAGGAAAAAGGCGACGAACTGGAGGTTACCACTCTTTAGCTTGAATTACTTGCACGTCTCAGTAAATTTGGTAAAGTGGCTATGATAGCATTTCGAATGTGCCTCATTTTCCAGCAGTAGATAACAGGGTTTAGAGACGAATTAAAAAACATCAGTGTGAAAGTGTAAACCGACAAAATCTTGGAAACATCGTTAACTCCGGCAGTTGCCGGAATGAAAACACAAACTAGAATGAAAACACAAACTTGTGGCAAAAAGCACAATAAACACACAAGATAGATATAAAATGATCCTGATGCAGATTTCTTAACACTTGGTGCGAGTGCCATTTCACCAGTCCGTTGTACCTGTAGGAGAAACTGGATTTGGTTTCTGTGATGCCGCACGGCTGAATATAAACGATTTCATTGCTCTTTTACAATCGGGGCGTTCCGCCTTCAAAGACAGATAAGTTAATAACCGCTTAACACCTTCCTTTTGTTATATCGATGATTCTATACTATTTACTGACCAGATTGAAGTTATGCTTTGAGTCAGCAAAATACCTCTTTCTTTTTTCGTTGTGTGGTACTTCGCACTTCACTCTTCTTAAGGTGGTAAACGTTCAGTGCACGATAATTTCGCAGTTCTGGGCTAGCTTTCAGCAGGAATCAGTGGACGACTTGACTTACCTTCTGTGCGGTTTTGCAAATTGTTAGGTTAGCTGGCCAGCTGTTAAATTTCTTTCCGGAGCGAATTCATAGCAATCACATAGCGAGTTGTTTCCAATTCTTTGTTATAGATTTTAATTAGGTCTCTGCGAGGTAGGCAAATCACAACTGTGCAGGCTGTGGTGCTCTGATTAAAAGTATTTTCATTTCAGATTTAAGCAAAGTTTGAATTAATTTTTATCTCCAGCTCTCTGACCAAAGCAGGTGTCTCGGACTTTTCTTATAGATGTTATTGAACATAGGTGCTGTTTTAGGCAAGGGTCTTATATTAGACAATTTTTAAGCTAATCAGTTGAAATAATTGTTTGGAATTTAAACATTAATGACAATTCGAGATTCTATCTTCTTTCTGAAATGAATTTACATTTGCATTAGAAAGGTTGTTTACTTTGCGCTATCTCGCTTATGGTGTAGCTAAAAAAGTCGCAGTATCTTGAAAACAATCTTCAAAAATCTTGGTGCTCTCGTGTGAAGATCTTTGAAGTCTTGAGGACCTAAATATACATTTGAAATGAAATGCTTAGGTTATACATAATTTTAGTGAGACTTTGAAAATATCGAAAGGAAGGTGCCTTGCTGCGTCCGTGAATATGGCGAAGTGATCTCATGAATTGTCTTTTACGTGAATCAAAAGTTGCATTTTCCGTAAACATGAACGTTTATGCGTTTTATCACACTAAATGCTATTCCAATTTAATGGTGTATATGTATGTGAAATTCAAATTAAAAATGTCTATGCAAAATTTGCATTTATTATTGTATGTTTAGCAAAAATGCAAACTGTCGCCAGGAATGAGCTCCAAAGGGGCTTTCTTTTTTATTCCCTCTAGTACCCCGGTCTGAAGGCCCTGAACACTGTAGATCACCCAGAACTCCCCGCAGTCGTTCGAGTTGAGCTGTGGTTTGGACTTGAGCAGTATCAGAGTAACTGGACTGCACGGGAGCACAGCGAAGGTGATTTTGGCGTCTTAGCAGAAACGGTTAGTCTACATTCAGTTTTTCGAATGTTCAGTTCGTTGAAATATTCTTTTCAATCGTAATTAAAATTGATTAATGATATTTCAATAGGCCATTTTACAGTTGTGTACTTAGTTGCCAAGCCTTTGATTTGGAGTAAGGCTGAAGGTGACCTTGTCGTGATAGAGACCTGAGCAAGGTTTGTATCCTAACAAGGTTACCCCTAGCCTCATTCCCGTTAAAAGGCTTGGCAACCAAGCACACAACTGTAAAATGTACTATTATAGCACTTAGCGAGGAGTTTCTTCTATTTTATAACGAAATCGTTACTTCCTTTGTAGTATGAAAACGAAGTCAAAATTGGTTTTTGGACAAAGAAAGCCCTTACGAGACCAGGATTTTCGAATGCCAGTGGGGAGGTATGCTTTCTATTTTAAACGACCAAACAAATTTAGAATATCATCGTCTCAGTATTTCTTCTCTTAGGCTGCGTTCACACTTGTTGCTCGAGCACGGTGCCCGTGCACGATTCTTGATGAGCGTTAATATGAACACGCCTTATTTTCAAGCACCCACGCCAGAATTCGGGCACCCTGCCAAGACTTTGTACTCGGGCACTGAACCAGGCACTGAAAAAAAAAACGACTGTTTCACATTTATTCTTTCCGCTAAACAGATTGCACTTGTGTTCAGCCTGTAAGAATTTTTCCAGGTGTCTTGGTATCTTTTCTGTTTGTACATTAACTAATAAGTAACTATTAGCGATGGTACATAATCTATTTTCCGTCCACAGCTACCACTACCTAAAGAAAAGTTTCAGGCCCCTGAAGGTTGGGAATTTGAGGGAGACTGGTACATAGCTCCGGAAATGAGGTCAGATTTGTTACCGACTTACCCACATTTCGCGCTGCTTTACCGATGTCCTAACATATTTCTAAATTTTTAGCCTGAAACATAGAAATAGCACATTTTCCGATTATTTTGAAGAATATTTGATCGAAATGTTTAATCAAATATTCTTCATATAGCAACTGTTTAGCTCCTTGTTGATTTCTTTCTGAATTGTTAATTGCAATGGGTGTAAAATTTGCCACTCATTACATTAACTATACTCTCTCTTTACTGGAACTGCTTGTGGATTACCCTTAAATTCAAAGAAGTGGGTACGAGAAGAGGTTTAAGGGAAGCTCCCCTCTGCTGAAAATTCATGCCGCCAACTGCCCCTGCCCCCTCCCTGATGTCAGTTTGTTGACATCTCTCGTTCACGGCCATTTATGTACCCATCTTATTTGCTATCTTGGAAAGTGGTTTTTACCAAAAGGTGAATACCACTTTTTACACGGTCTGATTGGTTTGCTCGGAAGTGATCAGTAAGTACTAATCACCTTCGAGAGGCCAACAAGAAAAATTGCGCGCCACGAGTTTGACTTTACTGACCATTTTTCGGAATTCTGACAAATTTTTAGGTGGTTTGTACCAACACAATATTCCCCTACTTATTAGACTCGCTTTTAAGTCGCGATTGCTTTGGTAGATCAAAAATGAAGGTCTTTATTTCTCATTGACAATTTTCAGAAAAAAGGTTGATGAAATCGCGGCTTTTAGGGCCGATGCCAGAAACTTTGGCCTTTGTTTATGCATCAGATTGAGCTAACTTTTTTCGATTCCTCGCGCAGTTCTTTTTGGATATTCTTTACCTCGTACCTCTGCGTATTAACAGGATTTAATATCAAGTTATTTGCTTAATCTTCTTGCTTTGAGACAGTGGACTTTCGATGATAGAGATCCTTGATTTGAAACTCTTTTTCGCCCTGAGTCGATACGTTTCCTTCTCTCCGTTCCTGCTTATTCGTAGAACCTTCCATCGCACTTTCCGTGTGAGTTACAGTAACTTGATCGATTTTGTTTCCAGCCAATTTTCTACCTGCCCACCGAATGAAGGGAACTGTTAAAAATGCTGCCTGAAATGAGCGCATTCGCCAAGCGTAAAGAAACTGATTCGTAGCAGAATTGAGTAGCAGGAATAAATACTGCAGGTCTCGGAACCAATGGATAAGAACGCAGCTACATGAGTTACATAAGTTAATAACATAGACCATCACAAGCGAAGGCACGCCACAGGCTAAAATGAAAGAATAATAAACAGAAAGGATTTTGTTATCTTCTCTTCACGTTTAAGATATTTTCGCCGATCACGGTTGCTTCTAATATGTTCAGTACTCTTTTCGTGTTCACGAAGGCTACGATAGATACTGCAGTTCACAAATAGTAGAACAATGATGCTTATCACGACCGCTGTATTGGCAAATATGAAGGCTAGAAGATAGAATCCCACTGCCAGGTATAATAATGGAAGACTAATGGAACACATCCATAAAACAATTGATGTTCCGATTGTACTAGATGTCTTGCCTCGTAAGATGCGGTTTGACGTCGCTACCTTGTACCTGTTTACAGCTAGAGCCAGTATACTTAACACCGATGCTGTTGAACTCATAAAATATGATACATACACCACCCACCTAAGACCAAGGACGGGGCGTTTCAGAGCCTCGCTAGCATGATATCCGACAAACACAGGCTCAGTTACGGCAG